ATGGAAATCACAGCTTTAGGTTTATTAGGCGTTGCGAATTGCTGAAATTGTGATGATCAAGGGTAGGGGGCCATGCGATATGGAAAGGCTTAAAAGCGAGCCACGGCCGAATAAAGGTTGAGAGTGTCTGATCTAATCCCTTGATCGCCTGCCAAATTTTAACGTCGTTCACGAAGAGCAAAAATTTTAGGGTGATAACTCTCACTAGATCTTTAATTAATACTAAGAACAGGCGAGGTCCGAATACCGAACCCGGAAGTAAACGGCACTTCACTCGAATCGATTCGGACAGAGATGTTCAGACTCAAACTCCAGTTGCCGTTCGCAGAGAACAACGAACAATGAACAATGAATTTATACGGGTTAAGAAGCGTTGCTTTACAAGTCCTGTTGGATAGTTGGTAAGGATATCAACAATAATGATGATAAGGACAGTAAAATAGTTAATACTTTAAATATGAAAATGAGAACTTATCGTTTGCCCCACTGTAGTTCTGCGATCCTCTTAGATTCACAGCACCCACAGTTAACAACAAATGATTCCATGGTATACTCCAGGTGTAGGAGGGAGACATAGTGTTAAGTGACAAAGTGTAAGTGGATGAGTGCATCGTCCAACCGTCTTTTAAATACTGTTAGTGTCGGTGCAGAGACGATCGATTCCGGGAGATCATTCCACGGGTGACAGACACGAATGGAAAAGAAATTTCTGCGGCACTCTGGACGACTGTATTGTTCTGCGAGTTTTAATGAGTGGCCCCTCAGGTTTGTATTGCTGCTGAGTTTCAGTAATGGGCGGCACACATGATGTGGGTCTCGCAGAATCAAGAAAGTCACCAATCCATCCTAATATCGAATCTTCGACGCGGTATTGCTGAGGTTTGTGACGCAGCACTCGATAAACCAAGCGATCGAAGGCTTCCGAAAAATCCATGTAAATAACATTAGTTCCTGGCCCCTTGTCGACGAGTTCCGTCCAGTTGTCACGAGCTGTCAGCGAATTCCTGGTACATGATCGATGTTGACGAAACCCTTGCTGCTCCATCGCAACGATGTCATAGCTTTCCAGGTTGCCCAACAGTGCATCTGCCATAATCGCTTTCATGACCTTGAGCAGTACAGAGAGAAACGTTACCGGGCGGGCTCAGATCGACTTTCTTCCTTGTAAATAACTGTGATAATATGCCGTTTCCAGATAGACAGAACTATGTTCCCGTCTAGACAACGCTGGAAGGATTAAGTAAGTGGTTAGTTAGGTGCATAGCTGCTATCTGTGATGCTTTCGGGTGAATGTTGTCCGCAGCAGGAAGGCCTGTGTGTATGCAAGGATAGCGGCTTTTTCAGCACAGTTTATGCAGTGTGTGACGCTGATTAAACCCAACAGTAGAGTAATAGAAGCAGGAATAATGTTTGAGCCTTGTACGTATTGGAAAATTGGTGCGTACTGGATCCGTAGGAACTTGGTTGTACCTCTCGCTATATACATGTACCCACCAACAGTAGGAAGTGGCGGGCTTCCGCGCCACACATGTCTAAGTCTATTAAAGTGTTTGTACAGAAGCTTGTGGTTGGAATAGAGTCGGTTCACCATCTCCGGTTAGTGTCAAGGTGTCCTCACGAACCAACTACACACAGTAGCTGCGTTGAACTACGCACACTACCTAATTTCAGCGCTGGGATAGTTTTTGTAAATGCGCCATGTCAAATCCTTCAAAGCCAACTATTTTCGGATTCGGTTCCACAGAAAGAATTTCGGCTTGATGGGACGATGAACAGCTATTGGATCTGACGCTTTTGCGATTAGTGAGGTGAGGTTTTTACGAGTGGTTCCCATTGAGAGGCCGTTGGCTGTCGAAGTTCAGTTGGATTATACGACTGCCCGCGGCTATTCGGGAATCCCGGGTACGAAACCACTGCAGTGTACTCCAATTGGTAAAGCCGGGTATGCAAGCGCGTTGTATCCAGTTGGTAGTTTACTACGATCATGTGATGTGACAACAAAGTAAGAAGTGAAATTGGAGAAACGAAAAACTACTGCCAAAGTAAGTTTGTGAAAGGGACTTTTAATTGGGTTGATATAAGGACTTTCAGCACAAGACAATGGACCGATCGCCACGGGATCACCCACTGCGTAAACAAACAGTTAGAGTAGATAGATTGGCCACTGGCACTGCTAACCTAGTGAGTTTCGTTCGTGAAGATTTTAAGTCATTTTTTTATGCTGCCGACCGTCCTTATGGGGCAAAATAGATTCGGGGACATGGTTGTTAGGGTGTGCACACGGACCAGGTGTTCTGCAAACATACCTCAAACACAACTTAGCATTTACCAACAAACTCCAGCACAGCATCCAGCGTGTTATCAGTAGGCTCACTACTAGACCCTGAAAGATGGCTAGAACACGACTCACTCAGTGGGCACACCATATGTTGGCAGCGAAGCGAAATCTCCGGTAGACAAATGCGCTTTTTCTAACATTTACGACACGTGCTAACCATCGCTTTATTCCTGTAGCAAAGTTGGCCACACTGTAGCAACCCACACCCTTCCCATGACAAGTAAACTCTTGTCTCTTCTTGTGAGTGACTGGAGCATCGGAAAATCGCGTGAGCCATATCGGTGTCCACAGCTAGCTCTTGGGCGAATTGGTCCCTAGAAGCAACCTAGGTGATTAAACTGATTGATCACCTCGAATGGTTTGCGTCAACAGTAAAAACTGGAGATACATCAATTCAGTCATTTGTCAATACCGCGCTGTGCATAAACCTACTCAGTAAAACCTGTGTAGTGTTTGAATCTGATTCGAAAGTTATCGGTTGATCCATCTGTATGGGAAGATGATTCTTGCTCATTTTAATCGTAGTTGACGGGAATGGTAATTAACCACTATCACATGCGGCATTTATTGGTGCCTGACGTCAAACATCTTGTAGGGGCCAAGAGTAGCAACTACTGGGCCAGGAGTCAGTAGTGTAAGAGCACAAGGCGAGCAGAACGGTTGTGAATCAACAACGAACTAAATCACCAGCAGAACTCGCCTAGGACGCAAGTGACTTTGCACGAAGAATAAACATCGAAGGAATGCATGAAAAGCTTTCGAGAAGTAGCACGCCATGCGACCAGCATAACAGCGTTTGCCAATGAGTTGGAATGATGGTGGTTAAACAATGAACAATGAACAATGGTTTTATACGGGTTAAGAAGCACTAATTACAAGCCCCGTTGGGTAGACTGGTGGGTAATTGGAAAACCTTAATAAAAAGTGCAGTTAGTAGTTCTACTGTCAAAAGAATGGACTGTTGGTATGTAATGGGGTAGCCCTGCACTCCAAATGTTTCCACAGCTTCAATAGACAAAAAATTAAATCCAAGGTATTTCCCGGAAGTAAGATGGAGAGTAACGTCAGATAACCAAATGTAAATGGCGGAGGGCGTCATCCAACCGACTAGGGTGACTAGGGTGGCTGCAGAAACAACCGATTGGTAGAGACCGTTCCATAGTTAACACAACGAATGGAAAAGATATTTCTACGGCACCCCAGATGGCTGCACTGTTCTAATTTGGGTGTTACTGCTGTTGCAATAAAGTGCGGCATACATGATTTTGATTGTGTAAAATCAAGTACGCCATAAGAAAGTCGCCTCGTAGTCAGCGATACCGCCCGCTGCATACTCCTGAACGTTTCAGCCTCTGCTCATATGGAATGTAACGCATTCCAATGACATATTTAGAACCCCGACCTTGAGGTTGGTCCAGTGTAGTAAGGTCGTGATTCAGCCATGGCTGTCAGGCTTGGAGTGCGTATTCGACATGGGCGCGAACATACGCATTCAGCATCTGTCTGAAAATAGTGGTGTCTAGTTGTCCGAACGCCCGTTGTAGCAAGCCGACGTGCTGCTTACCAGTTTTCGATGCTTTTGCGGATTGCTTGGAATAACCCAAGTTATCCAAGGTCGCGTTCGACGGATGATCGCTTCAGTACTTGTGTTCCTAGCTTGTAGGATTAGGTACTCTGGTGTCGAATGGAAAGTACCTTGCATTGGTACACCTTGAACTGTAACCGATTTCTGGTTGACCAATCATGTACCGTATCTAGGTCACACTGAAGTAAATTCTGATCTGCATCCGCCTGAATCCGGCTCCATATCTTGATATCGACAGCAAACAGCAACTAATTTGAAGCGAGTTTCCGTGCAAGGTCACTGGTGAGTACAAAACAATCGTGGACCTTGTACTGAGCCCTGAGGCAACTCAGACTCGACTGGTATGGGTTCAGATAAGGTACTCCGGACTCTGACCACTAATTATCGTTGCAGGAAAAATTTGGCGATCCAGCTCAAGAGAGGGTCATCGATCCAGTAATATTGGAACTTAGAAAGAAGGATCCGATGATGCAAACGTCGGAAAGCCTTCGATAAATACAAGTAGGTCACATCAACATCCTCTCCATCGTCAACTGAATCAGTCCAACTACTCCGTGCGATTAATAGATTCTTTGTGCATCAGCGCTGTCGACAAAAGTGTTTCTCGGGTGCAATAAGGTTTGCAATTTTCTAGATAACACACCAACGCATCGGCAACGATGTATTCCATTACCTTGGAGAATACAGGGAGAAGACGCACCAGGCGGTAGTTTGAGGGCTCAGTCCTGCTTCTGCCTTTATGAATCGGAGTTATTATTGCAGGCTTCCACATCGCAGGAATCTGGTTCTGGTCTAAGCAGGGCCGAAAGAACTGGGTTAAAGACTTATGCAGTTGTCTTGCTGCTGCTTCTAGTGCCTCTGAGCGAATGGTGTTGACGCCCAGGAAGTTATGTTTGAGTAGAAACGTCAGCTTCTGCAATACAGCTTCGGCTGCGCGTTGCCACGGTAAATTACTTCACAACTTACGTTCTTACAGCACGTCACCAATTCTTCCATACACTTAAGTGATACTTACTGATGACATTCTTCTCAAATTCGTGTCATTTATCTTCTCTTCTTGATCCCTTGTCAATGAAGCGTCCCTGTAGCCCATCGATTACGGGCTATCGTGTTCCACGACGCATCAGTATAACAGGATTTGCGCCAAGCGGAGCGCCTGTAGTCAGTATTGATCCACCCATAACCAAGGAGCCCGGGGCTAATGAGCCGACTTTGGTGGAAGGGAAAGCTCAGACCGAACTCTCGGAAGATGTTATGTACTCCACCATTTTACCCGATGATCTCGTCATCAGTCTGGTGCAAGAGCGTATTTCATCCGCTGACTGCCTCAAGGGTGTTGTGTTTGACGGGTTGGAATCACAGTTTGTGGAGAACCGACTCAAGTCTGCCCAGATTATGTTGAAGGCATTGCGTGATCGTCATTTTATCTACTTTGTCTCGATAATGGCTGACTACATGACATTCAAGGCTGTGGAAGAACAGATAGCATCCGCAGCTGTGGCCTCCGAGTTGGCTCACCAAAAGCTACTGCAACAGAAAGTGGAGACGCTATCTGAGAGCGAATACAATCACCTGCCAGAAAATGAACGTGAGGAGCTCGATGAATTTATGCTCCGTGGCCGGCGTCAGAAACGTCGAGAAGAACTGGAAGCTCAACGATTGCGAGAGGAGCGTCAGAGAGAAGAGCAGTTGGCAAAGGCTCGGCGCATCGAATACGAAAGGTCAGTTTATTTTGTTCGTCTAAAGCATTGTAGTCTTACAGCAATTGTGTTTTCTTCCATCCTTTTACAACCCTTTGGTATGGTAATATGGTACCATAGTGCCGAAACTCGTGGGACATTGTAACAATGGTTCATTACGGGTGAACAAACTACTACTTTACGTGTCCCACAGTAAGACGGTCAAGGTAAGCATGACACGAACAAAACTGGACGTTTCAACTCGTTAAAACGTGTGTCAATGAACTTGTCGTCTTGTCATTATGAACGCAAATCAAACCGGTCCACCTTGATAACATTTTAAACTACATACATTTTTATAACCCCACATTTTACACATTTGATTGCTGGCTGCTTCTGTGGTGAACAGCAGACACATTAACCATGCCAACACCTAGTACCCAGATATCTATTTCCTATTTATTGAACTCGCCTAGCGATTGCATAGTGATTCCTTGCTTTCTGGTCTTATCATGTAACTTTGACATTGATCCCATTCTTGTTCCGCTGAAAATTTAACATTCAGAACTCATCGAAAGAAGGGACGGAGAGTAGATGACAAAGCGGGTCGTCCAAGTACTTCCACAAAAGACACTGTGGATCGGAGTGCACCAACCAGTGCGCGTTTGTCACCTCAGCACACCAGAACAATGAAAGGTGGCTCGAAGGAGGTCACGGAAATTACATCGGCCGGCAGGTGGGATGAAAATGTTTGCTCTCACTCTTTTGATTATGATCAACACGCTAGGCCTTGCGACATGCATTGATCTTGAAACAGAATAATGATACTGCCCATAATAATAACAGTACTACTACTACTAATAATAATAATAATAGTATTAATAATAATGGCGACAATGATGTGGTTAATCCATTTTGGCAATATAAACTAAGCACTCACGAAATGGAAACTAGTAAAGGTATCTGTTTCATACTTTCCCTTCTGTGCGCAAGGTTACAGAATAGATTGCATGTAGCTAGAAAACTGCACAAGGAATAAGTTTAAAACGAGGATGGAAGATGGGTGAAATACACTGACTTCAGTAGAATCGTAAGGCAGACAAACTGCCGGATCCATGCACCTAGTGCCTACTTGATCCGAGTAATCTCGGTAGCTCCAGTAAAACCCAGGAGGAAGATAATGCCAAATCCAGGCACGCTTAGGTCGCTCCTATGAGAGGTTGCAAATAAATAACCCCTGATGTATGCCGTGCGTGACTTTTGTAGGCCCAAGTTTCAGGATAGGTACCTTGGCAACATCACTATTTGATGAGGCCACATGGACGGCAATGCTGAAGTCAACCAGGTGGTGTATGACAAAGGTCTCTCAGGTGCCCCACTGAGCATCCTGTTGAAATTAACCCGGTTGAGCTGGTAGGTCCCTGTTCTTCGCATGCTTTTGCATAGACAGTTTACATATGTAGTGCAAATTAGACTATGACACCGTTGCAGGGTGGGAAGATGGGGTGGATGAAACTGCCCGGTCTGATGCGCAGTGTTCCAACTTTAGATTAATTATTTTTCACCAGGAATGTCTTACCAATGTATCCAATTCACTTTAGTAGCCGGACCGTAGTTCACCACTTTAGGCAGACAGCAATCATAACGACCGATAACAAACTGTACCTGGGCCACATTTCTTGTTGCCAACACGAACACCTTAAGTACAGATATCTGGGAGTGTTATCCCGAGTGAGGAGAAACCCAGCAGTACTAGTTTAATAACATCCTCACAGTGGCAGATCTGGTAACAGTTGTAACAATTTCCTCTCCCACACAAACCAAACATTCTATCTGCTATTTTGCTCTATGAGTCCCATTTCTAGGCGGAATGGATATTTTCAAACAGGATGGTAACTTCCTTCACTTCCGTACAATTTTCGATCAAACACTATCACAGGCACCGTATTTCACGAGCGATGGACAAGAAAAGGTCAGTGAGCAGTATGAAAGAAGAGCCTATGCAGGAGGTGCAAGAAGAGCCTCTCAGGAGTGAAGCAGATGAAGTTCTATACCAAAAGTATGAACAACCTATGTATTTACTTTGATTACGTGTCCGGCTGGCCACTGATGACCGGTTCTTAGTGAACACCCGGTAACTGTGTGTGATTGGCACCCACATATATATCTAGTTTATCCTAGCAGCTCACAAACGTAACTATATAAACGTCAATCCGAAAAGCACCAACCGATTGTTTCGCCACATTGGAGCTCATCAGTGGTGTGCATTCACTCGGTCCTCTGCAGTTGACCGAACCCCTGACTGCAAACGGCTTGTGCCAATTAGTCAGCAGCTTATGTCACTGAGCAACGGAGGACGGAGGCAAACCGTCGCATTAACAGACTGACTAGCATATAACGCAACCCAGCATTCACTGCCTTGCAGGTTGTTAACCTTGCACAGGACAGCGGTCGGCCTCCGGAGGTACCGACTTCCACAGGACAGTAGCTGTGTACGACAGCATTTGTGGACTGTTTATTGTACTGATGAGTAGCAGGATTACAAATAAAATTTCTTCTAGAATCTCTGCACATCTGTAACCCACATTTTAGTTTAATCGCGGGGGACGGCATATGTGAGATGAACCAACAAAACGCAGTCGACAACTTAAGCATAAAAATGCTCCCCAATTATTCAACACACAGTAGATCCAAAGCCAATGTTGTTATCTACAAAACATTATTAATATATGGTGACAAACCGTAAATGTTTGCTCTCCTAGCAAGCAACGCGGGGTTAGCGCTTAAACAGCCACTGGTCGTGAATCCGTGAACGTCGGTAGCAGTCGAAGGTCCGGGATAGGAACAGTACCGATCGGCTTGGAGAAATCATTCAATAGATAGACAGACATTCAAGCGGCTACTTGGAGAATGGAATACGCAGATGAAATTCATGCGATGAGTGGACACCTGTATCGTAGGAATGGCGGGCACGTTGTGTGTGCATAAGCGACGAGGGTTTCACATGGGACGGTCAAGCGCGCTCCGTGCATGTGGATCGGGAGTAGGGGACGAGGTGGACACAAGCAACCATGTGCGTAAACTGAGCGAGGCGCACTTGCACACACACACACACACACACACACACACACACACACACACACACACACACACACACACACACACACAATTCGAACATACTGCAGTGTTGAATGTCAGGGGAGAGGTGAATTGGAATGAAATTGGGGACCAAGAGAATTTCGGACAGATCGCCAAAGTCTACCACTGATTTGTTGGAAAGTGCTGCCTGGATAACGGTTGATGTCGCAAGCTGTAAATATGTAGTGACTTGATCACAAACGCCTACAGAATCTGTTCCAATTGGTCGATCCGTGGGTTGTGGAATTCCAAACTGGACATACATTCACCTATCCGGAAAAGCATCGGGAGCGTCTCATCGTGTTCGAAATTGCCAGTGGCATGTGTTCCCAACGGTTTGCTTTGGGAGTCGAACGCGCAAGTTATATCGTCGGCTTATGCCGATGCGCCTCGAGCGACAGCAGTGGGTTGCACCAAATGCTTCCAGCTGTCACGCATGTTCGGAACGTGCAGTTACTGGTTCCAACACAAACTGCTACCACCGCAGGTAGTATACAAGCGGCCAATGCGAGTTCTATTTGTTAGAGATCATATTGTGGGGTTGGCATAGATATGAGGGAATCCAAAGAGAAGGCTCGCAATCGAAAAGTCCTGGCAGGATAATGTCACAGCTCAGCTCTTATCTTAATGTGACGGATATCTGAGCAACTCTGGCTGTACCGGTCCTTCCCAAAACACAAAATCTCCCATTGCTCTCAGGGAATCGGTTGCTATTCTACTTATAACAGCATAGGCAAATCGGTGGCTTAACGAGAAAAGTTGTGGTCCCAAGGAACGGGAGTGTTTTATGTGGCAGGATTGTGGATAACAGTGCAGGATAAGTCGTGATGTGCCGCAGCTGGTGATAAGCCATGCCAGCCTAACGCCGTCATCCACGGCTCAGTAGATTAAGCCTGGTTCGTAGAAGGAAAGACGTAAGTTTGATTTTCATATGACTCCCGGGGGATACTCGATGCTCGCATGTCGCCATAAGGTAAAGCATCTGTCTGGTGCTTTTTCGGATATCCAATCAAATCACTTTGAGGTTAATCGCTAAGTGTCACAAAACTCTACTACTTTCGAATACTACGAAATGAGCTTCTGTGCAAATACTGCAACTGCTCAGACTATTCTGCTAAAAGATCACCAAAATTATGAATACTTAACAAAACAGTTGCTGTGTTGGACATTGTACTTAAATTATATTCACTTCTTCGCATTCATCTTTCGATTAGTCGTTGCAGTATCGTTGCAACGTAGTCCAATGATCCACATGCTGATAAGTAGCCACAATTGTCTCGGGGTATTCGCATTGCTGTCATTAACCTGTGCACCATTGTGGGCCTCATTAGTGAGCCGCACCCGGGAGTTGGTTGAGTTATTATACTACTTATGAGTAGAAGGATTGTAGTTGTAGTTTCCTCTTCACATTATAGATTTAAAACATTCAACTTCGATTTTGTCGCCATTTCTGACCTGCTTGGTTGGTGGGATCGAGTGTCACTCACTCAAAGGCAAGTCACGGTGATTGATGAACACGAAGATGGTGCCGGTAAGTCATCTATCGCTCAAATGGGAAGACGTCACCGGACCGGTAATCTAACAAGTTCGATTGGCGGGCCAAGAGGAAGGCAACCAAACATCAGAGCTGAAGGGGACAATTCTGGGGACACGGACAGCAACATTATCTATTCTCCTATGACGCCCATCTACTGTGATCTGCCGTATACAGCCGACACACATCGACAAGCTCGCATTGATCAAATAGCACCGTCGCCTTCTGAATACCGACTGGCCAATGCAAAGTGTTCGCGTTTGCTGGGAATTCCCCACTTGGTAGTGAATGCACCGTTGCAGGAAGCAAGCGGGGTAGTAAGAGGTAAGCTTTTCAGAGACGTCACACCATGCTTCCATACTTTTGAATTAATGTAAATAACGACTGGCGCTATAACGGCAAAATTCAGTCATAGTAATTGTTGAATAATAACTTCCTGACGATCTCAACAAATAAAGGTTGTGTAGAACATCCCAAGTGCATATATAGGATGTGTCGCGATTTATTTTTAAATATATGTGTGCCGAGCATTTGTAGAATTGTGGCAAAATTGGTTAAATTAATTTGTACATCGTTAGCTAACGAATCTAACTACTTCCCGTACTTCGTGAGCGACATCCAGCCCACTCCCTATTATTATCTGCAAACGATGTAGCATCTCTCGTGGGGGACTGGATAGTTCTTCGTAGTTGGAACACTAGCCTGGCGACAAAACAAGCTTACGGCTGAACATTCCAAGACTCAGTTTACTTACCTACTCACGAAATGTCTTCCCCGATCGGACGCAACAGACGAAGGGGCTACGTTTTCTTAATTTTGAAAGTGACAAACAAGCATTTCTGCCCAGTCATGACCCAGTCATGCTCATGTACTTGTCGCTGCTGAACGTGATCGAAAGCACAGCAGTAACAATGTCGGTGATCAGTCATACGCGAGCGAACGTTGGTAACCCAGTGAACGGGAACAAGGTCCGGCGGATGAGTGTTACTGACGATTCGCAGAAGGACGAAACGGCCGTTTAACGCTTTCCTGGATACCTGGTGATTGTCTGGCTGGGTCCATTTGCGACAACTCTTCTCAAGAAGCCCTCCTCGATCGATAACAACTGGTGGATTAGGCCACGAACAGTTAACGCACAGACACAAGAGCACACACACGCAGCTACCGAAGAAGCATACTGCGATGACTTTTGTGAACTTGAGGCTGTCACTCTCCTTAGTTCGTGCTATACAAGGTGAATTTCAACCGGTCGGTAGTTGCTGCTGGAATGGCAAACTTTAGACCAACAGCACACCCCGACTCATTCCACACTCGGTGACCTTGGTCTCACGTGTTCAATACAGTGATCTGGCTCCCAGGTCGGCCTGTATCCGATTGGCACAATGCGTCTGTCCTGCAATTTATAGCTCACTGCTTCCAATCAAAGTAGGTAGGAACGACCTCGCGGTATCCGTAACACATGCCCGACTGGTGATGGTCGAGTGGCCGCTAAACGTCAGTATGGCGTACCGGTGTCTTCACTTCGCTCCACCATTAAGAACCAATTAGCGGCCACCTTTCGACGCCAGTAGGTTTCTGTACAGACTACACAAGTGAACTTAGGTAAACACAATGTGAATCTGTTCAATCCTGCTCCTACTACGGAGATCAGAGAATTTGCTTGCACACCATTGTGTTTTGAGGACCCTTTACCTAGGTTGCAGCTGAATATGCGTTCCGACCTCCCATGGCCATATTTCAATATTCTGGAAGGTTACAGTCCAGAAGCACACACGTTACCGTAATCCGGTTTTCTGATATTATCTAATTTCCCTGCCTGTATGGGGCGCTCTGCTAAGATGCGGTGTTTATTTCTTCTCGAGCTGAACAACTTCGTCGCACACGGCTCAGGACCAGTGGATGAGGCGGCACAAATTGCGGGACAAATTCCTCTCCTCCCGCGCTTCCAAAGAATACGAGGCGTATAAGAAGTAACGAACTATTTGTAACAGCAGCAAAACGAGCAAGCGTCGGCGTTTCGAAGAGCAGCTCGCAACCGCTGTAAAGAACGCCCCGAAAAGAATCTTTGCTTACGTGAAGAGGCGCCTGAAGCCGGCAGGTAATCTACCAGTGTAAAGAGCCCGGACGGACAACATCTACACTCCAGCGTTGTGATTACATCTGCCTTCGCTGCGCATGTCGCTTTATGTTTGCAAATGACCAGGTGTCTGTACAGAGTTCGATGTGTATCGCGCTTACCGAAGCAGACATTCTAGCTTGCTGTGTAGAAGAGATGTGTCGACTACTCTCCA